AAAAGGGAAAAAGGCACATGACGGAGAGCCCCCGGGAGGACATACAGGCCATTCTCCACCTTCTCCAGATGCAGTGACCCTCCAGTGACTTCTCATCTCATCCCCTGGTCTAGAAGAAACCATAACCGACAGACTACGGAATACATTTTTATTTTCCCTTTATGAAATGGACTTTTTTCAAATGTATTTCATTTTTCTCCCTTATGCTGACAAGAACATCCAATTTTGCTCAGGTCCCTTGTAATGGCACTTAATAAATATACATTCTGGGACCCGACAGAACAGGCTGTCCTATTTCAAACTGCCTCAGAGTGCCAGAGTGAAACCGCTAGTCAGTGCTCAGATGGGCACATCCTCACGGTCCCTGGCCTTCTCCGACCCCAGGTCTGTCTGTCACTGCAGCAGTCTAGGACACAGCTCCTCACCCGGTTCACAGTTAGAAGCACTTGGGGAACTTCCTCAATTCCGAGCCCCCCCCCCCCCAGGCTGATTACATCCGCCTTGGTGTGGGGTCCTGGCCTTCATCACAGTCTAAGGCTGCCCTGTGAACAGTCACGGTGGGAGTCCTGAGCTGGAGTCCCAGCACACATCAGCCCCAGTTCGCACTGGGGCCCCACAAGTGGATTTCCTATTCCTGATCTCTCCCCTCATGCACCCCGATTTTATCAGAAATCTGTGCAGAAAAGAGAAAGGAAAGTGAGTCAAGAGCGTCTTGTAAAGTGAATTGGGCGCTGGGAAAGGGATCGTGGGGCTAGTTTCTCGAGTATGCGGTCTCTACGCTTTTGCTAGCCTGAGGAGGCAAGTTACAGACCGACAGGGACGTGGGTCCAGGCCCTTCAGCACCCGGAGCCGACAGCCTGAGGCACTGCGGGAAGAGCATAGAGATGGTCTTGGAACTCCATCCCGGCTGGCCCTGCGGCGCACACCTCTGACTTGGGTTGGTGAGTTGTAGGAAGCTCACACTGAATCACGTCCCCTTTCTGTGAATCTTGCCATTTATCTTGGCCCAAGGTGGCAGACTAGAGACGAGGATCCAGCTCGGACCGCAGCCAACATGGGCCCAATCACGCACGGGGAAACTGTTTAGGAGGAGCTTCAACGTCCAGGTTCTAGAAACAGATGACTTGCTCACCAGGTTCACGAGACTGGCTACCTAGAACGCAGTGCCGAGGAGGACCCTGAGGAAAGGACACCACGTGCACCGTCCACCACCATGGGTGTGGCAGTGGGGACGGGCAGCATGGATGCTTCCATGTGCCAGCCTCGCCAGCTGATGGCCGGGGCCATCCTGAGGCCACTGCCCTCCACCATGGGCGTGGCAGTGGGGACGGGCAGCATGGACGCTTCCATGTGCCAGCCTCACCAGCTGATGGCCGGGGCCATCCTGAGGCCACTGCGTGCATTTAAGTTTTTATCACACGTCACGGTTTACCAGAGCTCCCACATCCTTGCTGCACCTCGTTCTCACAACCCTGAGCTGGATCTTTCTGGGTGAGAAAACTGAGGTGTCTGAGTCCCCCAGACACCTGACATCATTTCCATAGCCGCCTCTCAACCCTCAGAGACAACTGGAGACCAACCACCTGGGGTTTCCCTCCCCATCCCCTTCCATCTAGAAACAGGAAAACAAGCCATTACCTCACCTCCTCCAGCCACCAGGCCTTTAATCACCTACTTGGCCGAATGTCCTCTCTGATTTGCATGGGCTTTTGTCCAGAGAAAGTCTCACGAACCCAACCTAACACCGTCAGAAGCCTCTTGTCCCTGGGCAGCCTCTGCATTTGTCTACACCACATATTCTAGAACGGTGACTCAGTCACACCACACCCAGCCTAACCAGGAGGGCATTCCCTTCCTGCCACCACACACACAGGTAACATTCCTCGGAGTGACCCACTCCCATGAGAGGCTAGATGGGGATGCAGGTGAGACTGAGGGTAAGCTACAGTGAGTCCCAGCCAACTCGCTGTGACCTGCATGTTGCCACCCCAGGTGGAAATGACTGCTTATACAGATGACACAAGTGGCCCTGGTGTGGCCTTTTGGGCCCACCCACACCAAGCACTCTCCAAGGACCACCCACTGCTTCTGGTACCTTCTGGGGGCCTTTCACCTACCCTGCTTAATCTTCCCTTCCACCCCTACCTTTGCTTTTCTTCCTCTCCCCCCAGGTTCATTGCCTCTGAGCACAGGCTCCAAGGAGACACCCTAAGAGGTGAGACTCCAGCCCCACGGAGCTGGGCTAGGAGCCCTGGCCAGGAAACTGGAAGGCACATAGCCCCTCTGTCCATTCACTTCCACCAGGCTCCATTCCGGGTTTCCCTTCTTGTCCTGGGCCTCCAGGAGGGTCACAGGCTGGCCTGCCTGCAGGCTCACCTCCTGGCTGCTTCTGGCCAGGAATGGGTATGCGGCCACCACCTGAAACACAGGAAGCAGATGGGGAGGCTCAGGAGGGCAGCAAACTGCACCCAGAAACTGTTCCCATCCCCCCCGCCTCTGGTCCCCACTGCCGTTGCTAATGGTGAGAGCACCCTCCAATGACAAAGGTTCACCATCACCCAGCCCACCGTGCCAGCTCACTCAGTCCCTGCTAGGACCCCATTGAGCTACTTCCTCCTCGAGGGCTCTGTCCCTGCAAAGCCAGCCCCTTGGAGGCTCCCCATCATTTTTCCTCCTGAGATATAATTCACTTACCAGCACAGTCGCCTGCCAAAGTGTACAATTCAGCATTTTTAGTGTGTTCACAAGGCTGTATCCTCATCACTATCTAATTCCAGAATGTTTTCATCATCTCCAAGAGAAACCCATACCAGTGAGCAGTCACTGTCATTCTCCCCTCCCCTCAGCCCTGCAACCACTAACCCATGTTCCGTTTTCATGGAGTTGCCTATTCTGGGCATTTCCTATAAATGACATCAAACAACATGTGGCCTTTTGTGACTGGCACCTTCCCTTCAGCATGATGTGCCCAGGGCTCACCCACATGGCAGCATGCATCAACACTTCATTGCTTTTCATGGCAGAGTAATATTCCGCTGTATAGATATATAGGAATGTTATCTGGCTCAGGGCTACCTTTCCATCCCTTTGGACGGAGAAAGTCAGTGGAGATGAATGTCTCCAAACTTATACGGATGTCATTTGAGCTGCTGCTACTTTGGGGCTCTCATGAATAATGCTCCCATGAACATGTCCATGTTTTCCACTGCCTTTTCTCTCTCTTTTTTTTTTTTTTTTTTTTTTTTTTTTTAG